CCCACTAACTCCCCACCCTGGAGCCTGCTGCCCCTGCCCGCTGGCTCCCCATTGCTGGGTGGTGTGGGGAGCCCCTCTAGGTCTGGGGCTGCTTTGGTGGGGCTGCTCCCTCCGGCCTGCAGGCTGCTCAGCCCACTCTCTCCCCACCCTGGAGCCTGCTGCCCCTGCCCGCTGGCTCCCCATTGCTGGGTGGTGTGGGGAGCCCCTCTAGGTCTGGGGCTGCTTTGGTGGGGTTGCTCCCTCAGCCCCCCAGGAGAGGGCGCTGCCCCACAGAGCTGGCTCCCTGCACTGCCCCATGCCTGTGTGAGCTGCGGCCTGGGGGCTCCTGGCAGTAGGTCAGGGGGGAGCACCCGGGGGGCTGGGCCACGCTGGGAGCTCAGGGGCTGGAAGTTTGCTCAGGCCCTGCAGGTGTGGCCGCCTCGGGAGCTGTTGCTGCCCGAAAGCAGAGGGCAAAGTTCTCCAGCCTGGAGCCCTGCACTGCGCCTGCGACCCGGTCGCGCCTTGCTGCCCAGCGCTGCCTTGCTCTGGGGGGCTGCGCCCACTGCCCTGTCTCCCCTCAGCTGGCGGGGGAGAGGGGATGGGACTGGACGGGCAGCCTGCCCCCTCCCTTGGGCAGGAGGCCAGGCCTGTGCCCCAGTCCTGACTGAGCAGCTGCAGTGGCTCCACTGATGGGGAGCTCCGGGGCCCTCCTTGTACCCGAAGCGCTTTGCGTTCTGAGGCCTTGTGCGCTCAGGACGGCCCCTGGCAGCTGTCCGGGCTGGAGTCTGGTTCCAGGGTGTCCCCTGGGCGTACCCTCGCCTGGCACAGACAGCTCCTACGGGTGCTGTCAAAAGCCAGGCCAGCAGGGCTGTGGGTGACTCCACATTCAGTTCTTTTCTCAGTTAATTCAGGGCATGTTGAAGGGACTAGAGACGCCATCGCCCAGCCTGCCCCCCACTCCAGCCTGCCCCTCCCCTTTAATTCTTTAACCGGTCAACGATCTGATAGCCCTAGAAGGGACCAGCCATGCTGCTGTGGAGTAGGGATGTGAATGAGTACCAGGTAACCAGTTCATCCGCAGCCCTCTGTGGTCAGGAGCCCTGCAGGTGTGGGGTTACTCGGCCTGCGCCCAGCCCCTCGCCCACAAGCTCCCGCTTAACCAGTGAACCAATTAAACACAACAGTTAATCCATTAACTGAGTACATGGGATTTTATATCCCCCCTCTGGAGAAGGGAACCTGTATCCCAGGCCCAAACCTCCTCCCCCACCGGTTCTATGGGGAGGAGGATAGTAAAATAAGGGGCTGTTTTGTTTGCCCAGAGGGAGACAGACCCCGGCCGGGCTGGGCTCTGGCAGTCTCAGGAATGCTAATTTCAGTTCTCGAGCACTCAGGGTGTGCTGAATCTTTCGCAGACCCCTCCAGCTTCGTCCAAGTGGGCATTGGTTGTGTTGCCCTGGGCAGCTCACACCCCCGTTACCTGTCCTAGTATAAGGCACAAGCAACGACAGCTCGTGCCTCAACGAAAATACAGTGTCCACAGATGGACGCATGTGAGAAATGAGGCTTCAGGAGAGATTTCCATGCAGCCCAGACGGGTAGTCTCTTGGCCTGGCAGATTGGAATACAGGAAGTGTGTGCGGGGGTGAGAGGAGAAGAAGAAATGGAAGTAAAATGGGCAGGACAACTGGGCACCCGAGCTGACATTACTGACCGGGGGAGAGGGCTGTGCGATACGAGCTGGGCTGATACGCAGGGCCTTACAGAAAAATATTGCTCACGTCTTCTCAACAGACTTTTTTTTTCATGGTGCGACAAGAAACTCCAGCCCAATTCCTGTGAGGTCTGCTGAGCCGTGCGGTGTCCGTGGGCTAGCAGTTCTAGCTAGTGCAGCTGCTGGATAATCCATCCACAGGGACGGGGAATGAGGATTTCCGTTCCTTTAAACGTGGGGGATGGAATCCTAGTGATTTCTCCTTGTATTCTTCTCCCCTTCCCCGGTTACTCATGCTAGATGTGAGCCATCCTTGTTGGGGCAATAAAACTTTCAGCCTAAGTAATCCTCCTGCAAGACGGGGGGTGTAAACAGGATGTGTGTTTCTTTAGGCCTCTGCCTGCTAATGTCCTCACCTTGGGGTTGCTGTGGAGGTGACCGTGTCATCCCAGGCGGAAGGTTATGATTAGGGAGGTTAAGCAGATAACTGAGTAAAAACGTCAGCAGTTACACAGTTACATGTACCTGCAGTGCAGGGTGGCAGCCAGCTCTCTGGGAGCCGGTGGCCACCAGGAGCTGGCTTTTAAACCAGCTCCCAGCACACACCGGCTCCCACCCCATGCTGCTGCCTCCTATCAGAGCCAGCACCATGGGGTGGCAGCCGGTTTCCCAGGAGCAGGGCGGGAGCCTGCATGTCACCGTTCACGGTAACCAATAAGCTCAGGTTTATTGGTTAACCGTGTAAGCGGGTTATCCTATTACATCCCTAGTTATGAGGTTCATTGTAGTGTAAGCAGCCAGCACATCTACCGCCCCTGAGCAGGAGAGCACATGGGCCATGGAGTCCCGTCTCCCCCCATCCCCAATATGAAGTGGGGGGTGAAGACCCTGGGGGGGTGAAGGGATGGTGTAGACGGAGCTAGGTCCTGCCTTGAGGGCGGGGGGGCTGGACTCGATGACCTCTCGAGGTCCCTTCCAGTCCTATGATTCTGTTGGGAAGTGCTGTGAGGGCAGGGGAAGTGGCGTGTGCATTGCACCTGGCACCACTTTGGTGAGATACAGAAACACACCCAGGAGAGACGCGGCTGCAGAACGCTTGGCGCTGCATGCACGAGATAAGATCTGCTGCTCTTTGGTGGCGCTTTCCTACTCCTGGCGCACAAATCCGTTTCCTTGCATCGTCCGCTCCCATTCGATGTTACGTGCAGTTAATTCGGGAGTTGGACTTCGAAGGAGGCAGTTTCAAGGTCAAGGTGAAAATCACCCCGGCTGCCGTGGCGCGTCAGTCGTGCACGTGACAGCCCTTGGCAGAGTCAGTGTCAGTGCCTGGCTAGAAACAGGGAGGCGGCTGCCTGGGAAAAGTTCCTTACAAACCTCAGCAGGGGCGGGGGAAAAACCCGTAGGCACATTTCAGAAGGAATTTCAGAGGAAAACCCAGACTTGTTGCGCCCCGGGAAAGCGCATCAGAAAACAGGGCTCGAAATAGTTTTTATGAATTCCGATGGACAGTGCCCGTACAACAGGCCTTCGCTTTCACGCGGGAGGCGGCTGCCTGGGAAAAGTTCCTTACAAACCTCAGCAGGGGCGGGGGAAAAACCCGTAGGCACATTTCAGAAGGAATTTCAGAGGAAAACCCAGACTTGTTGCGCCCCGGGAAAGCGCATCAGAAAACAGGGCTCGAAATAGTTTTTATGAATTCCGATGGACAGTGCCCGTACAACAGGCCTTCGCTTTCACGCTCCCACAGCTGTGTTTCAGCCTCTGGTTAAAAGCAGCCTGACGTGCACTGTTGTAGCTGATTCCACTTGGTTTGGAGCCTACATGTCGATCTTCAGGTTTGAAATGTTGCCCTGGATGGTTCCTCCAGTATTCAAGGCCAGGGAGCTCGGCTTTACGCCATCAGCTTGTGCAGAATTTACACTTTTCCCTTGTCGCTTTCCTCTGGCCTAAGATCCGGGACTGGATCCGTTCCGAGCTCTGCCATTGACTTTTGGGGTGATCTTGGGCCTGCCGCGGGAAGCCGTAGCCTATCTGTAATGGGGCAGTGGGACTACCTGTCTTGGTAAAGTGCATCCAGATCCCCTGCTGACAATTGCCCAGTAAGAGCCAAGGTGAAAAGCAGGCTGCTGGCCTCTATGCTGATGGAGCCCTGTCCGTCTGAGCCTGCAGGCTCCCGAGCGGCAGTTCAGTGACATTACCAAGGCACTGGTGGATTTGGGCAGCTGTCTGGAACCAGCCCAAGTATCCCTCAGTGTCGCCGCTCCCAGGGGAAGCTCTGAGCGGTGGCAGAGATGGGCACTAGAGCTAATCCGTGGGGGGGGCCCACGCTGAAGGAAGGGCCCGCTCTCCCCACCGCACAGCAGCTAAGGGGCTCTAGGGGAGAGGCCGCTGCAGCGGTCAGGCGTGGGGAGGGGCAGAGAGAAAGTCTCTGTTCCAGCAGAGGGGGGTTTAAAGAGCTGTCAGCCAGAGGCTGACATGAAATAGGGAGCCACCCCAGGTCTGGGGTCGGAGTTCCAGCAGCCTGAGGCAGGGGTGTGGGGCTGCTCACTGGGCATTTCCCCAGCCCCTGCTGGAGGGCAGCCCCCCACAATGCGCATGGCTCCCCCAGCCCCTGGCCAGGCTGTGCTGTCCCCAGCTGGCCGGGGCAAGGCCTGTGCAATGCAGAAACGCCAGGGAAAGCAGCGGGCAGGCGCAGCGGGTGTGTCTGTCAGTGCAGGCCGGTAGACCGGAGTCAGCAGCCTGGGGCCTGACAAGTGCATTGCGGGACTGGCAGTGGAGAGGCGGGCGCTCGCGCTGGCAGCACAGGCGGGGGGGCCCCGCCCGTGGGGTGCCCAGCTGGCCGGGGCAAGGCCTGTGCAATGCAGAAACGCCAGGGAAAGCAGCGGGCAGGCGCAGCGGGTGTGTCTGTCAGTGCAGGCCGGTAGACCGGAGTCAGCAGCCTGGGGCCTGACAAGTGCATTGCGGGACTGGCAGTGGAGAGGCGGGCGCTCGCGCTGGCAGCACAGGCGGGGGGGCCCCGCCCGTGGGGTGCTGCGGGGCAGTGACGGTGTCTCTTCTCCCGGCAGGCGCTC